AGAGATTTTATAAGAAAATAGTCTCTTGGTACCAGTATTTGAAGTCAAGAAGGCATATGTTTCGTTTTTTTTGTATATTGCCATCGAGATACTATTCACAACCCTCAAAATTGCAGACACACGATTGTTGTGGAAGGAAATCTAAAGCCAGTTTTCTCAAGTACAATAGCTGCCCCGTTTGTATTTTGAACCTGTCATTTTTTTCCAAAGTACTTGCGATATTATTATGATGGTGCCCTCTTGTCTTTCTGTTCATAATATTTTGAACGTAACCGTATATATAGAGAAAATAGAAATGTTTTGTTTATAAAGATCATAACTTAAGATGCCATCCATGTTTACTTTGAATACACTTATTCTTAAGAATTTAGCATTAAAGAAAAGAGCTTTGAATGGTATCTTCATCGGTGCTAACATTGACATTATTTTCAACAGTTAAAACATTGTCTAAATGAAAAATACTGTTTAACAATTAACAAAAGAAAAACTGAATAATCGTATTTTAACATTCCATTTTTAACAAGTGAGCCACATACTCGCAGTATATCATAATTGCACTTGCAATACGATATACTACTCCGGACAATATTCCTCAATATTATTACTATAACCCTATTCAACTCAATCAGTTTTCGACTTCCATAGACATGTATCCCCATCCAGAGTTTTCGGCTATATCCGCCAAATAAACTGACTACAAGGATAGGCTCCGTTAATGAGACATCAACTAAATATCTACTTTATAAGAAAGACATCTACGGGTCAACATGCTATCTTCAATGATAGCAAAAAGTACCCATATCATAGGTTTTGTTGTAAATTGTTCCGTGTCTAAATTAGTGAATGAATAGATACTACCAGATATTTTCCAAAAGGACAAAATTCCGATGGCGATGTTTCTGACTATTATCTTTGTGCGTGGAATTATAAAAGACAAAAAAATATACCAAAAATAACGATAATAAGGCACAAACTACAAAAAAACATTCACCGTGTAAAAAATAAAAATCACAATATCTGAAAGCTATTCAAAAGTACCTCATCGTTTATATAGAAGATCATAGAATTAATCATTGGGTCTTATACTCTAAGATCTGCCACCACCATGACTTGCAAATATATTTCTTACACATACGTCATAGATTTACAGAAAACCAGAAATGTCAAAAGTTAATTTGTAGTTCTTCTATGTCATTTGGTCTCTGATGGAGAGTTGTCTCATTGGTAATCATACAACATCTTATTTATATATTGTGTATGAAATCCAAATATAGAAAAAGAAATGATAAAACATTGACACTTTCAATCATGTTTCAAAATGTTGCCAAGTAAATAGATATCAATCACCGTACATACAATAAACAGCAATAGTATATACTTATAATATGTTGAAGAAATCAAGATTATAACATATAACACAACTAGGGTTCTTATGGAATGTTTGAATATTCTGTATTAATTTAATTTTGTTTTGCATTTTGTTTATGTCCAATTTTTATGCATTCATTACATACTTGCTTATTGCTTATTCAAAATTATGCACAAACATACTGCTGAAAGGTGCAAAGTTATTAAAATGAATTTCATCAAAAACACGCATATATATATATATCTTCTGTGGAATCGGCTCTGATTATCAATGCAATAATAATTGTATAAAATACCAATAAAGGAGAAAAGCGCATAATGGAGAAACGTGTTGATCAGATATGGTATATGCCAAGGTATTTAAGACAGCACATTTGTTTTATTTTGTCATACATTTTATCCACATGCTACTGTGCACAAATCATGTTTTGTGTGCTTGTACAACGACAAGAACCAGATATTCTGACATCACAACTGGTTCTGTCAATCCCGGGAGAAAAAAGACAAAAAAGTCGATAAAGTTATATTTAGTACTACAAAAATCGATTTACAAAATAACTGATCCGGATGCACTCTTTTTTAAAAAGATTTCAGAAAAAAATTCTTCTTTCCTTTGCACATTTGTTATTGTCTGTAAATCTTTATTTTTTTGCCTATTATTACACATTTTTGCTTATTCTTAGTAATTTAGAAACTTATTAGTTTGAATCATAATTGATTTACATTGTACCAATACTCTCAGTTCATTATATCTTTAGTCACAATTTTTCAATTCGTTAAACTTTCTACTCCAGATTGGTAGCGATACAAAACTCGTTTTCATCCTTTTTATGGGTGGGAAATTTTGCAAGAATGCTAGTTTAGTTTACAACACCTATAAAATTTTAAATTATTTCCCAATATAAAGTAGATACCTCACTGTTAAAATAACTGTCCGAGATAAACAACAATTTAAGCTCGGTCATAAATCGTCTGTGGATCGTAATTTGTAATTACAGATTTAAAGTTTAAAGTTGTAATTGATGGCAACAATGGCTGCCTGCCTATGGTTATATAATTGTAGTGATAAACCACAACACTTCTGAAATTGAAACGTTGACATGTAGCTCGCACCCCGTGATGCTTTGTTAATTCTTGTGAATCAACGGTACTTTAGACAAGTCTATGCTTCACATATACCAATTAAGTATATTAAAAGGATACTTAAATAAACTAAACTTTCTCTTATTTTTCAACTGAGATTTAACAGCTCGTAATTCTTCGTAATTTTCATTCTTTCTATTCCTTTAATTAGACTGTCTTATTTAATCTTTATTCAATGAAAAAGCCGCTTATATATATTATGCATTGATAAAAGATCACAAATTTGATATGATTTTAAATAAAAGATTAGACCTGGAGCCATATAAGAATAATACAAACGATGTAGACAAATGTACATAATGTAAAATCTTTACGTAAAAACACAATAAAATCAGAGTCTTAGTAAAGTTATTGTCGAGTGAAAAGCAAACCCAATAAAAGTAATGCTGCAAATGAATCCTCACTAAAAACTAGAAAGACAAAGAGCTGTTCCTTTAACATAAATTTGGTATTTTCAACAACCTTCTAAATCTTTTCGTTTAGAATTCATAACACGAATGCACTATACCAACATCACATTAAATCTCAGAAGTCCAAACACGTACAAATAAGTAAATATGAGCGTAAAAACCGGAGATATTGCATGAACTATAAGCGGATGTGAATAGGTGTCACGCCATGGTGTGCCTCTCCTATGCTTGCATCACACGTCAAACGGTTGTGAAAAGGTGCTACACCATGATGTGCCTCTCCTATGCTTGCATCACACGTAAAACGGTTGCGAATAGGTGTCACGCCATGGTGTGCCTCTCCTTTGCTTGCTTCACACGTCAAACGGTTGTGAATAGGAGTCATGCCATAGTGCGCATCTCCTATGCTTGAATCACACGTCAAACGGATGCACGAGGTCTAGATGGGAATTCTTCATTTCTGAATTCTTTAATTGTTATGCCATTTTTCTCTTTATTTCTTTGGCCATTATTCCTTATTTTTATTTTTTCGACCTATATTTTTTATTATCTATTGTTTTGGTCCATTTTCGCTTGGCCAAATATTTTCTATTTTATAAACCCGTGCATCCACTCTCATGCACGCATCAGTCAAACGGGTGCTTCTGCTATGCATAAATCACACATCAAACGAATGTGAGTGGTGTAACCATAGTTATGCTCGCATCATACGTGCATAAAGGATTTAAGTGTTACAACAGGATACACCTCTGCTAGGAGTGTACAACCCATCCAGCGAACTTAAGTTATCGTAGTATCTATTTTAAAGGAAATCAGCAAAAAATCTTAAACGGAAGCAATTGGCAATTCGTCTTCTTTTTGTCCTTTTCATATAACACGATTCTTATATGACATATCACTGAACATACGAACTTATTTTCTTTATAGTTTTTAGATGAAACTTCAATATTTTTTTTCAATTCCCAACCTTTTTGTAAACTATTAACATTCTACCTTTTCTGTGTACTATATGCAAATGATTTAAAAAATGAAATTTTATGATTTGAATGAAATCTTGTTATCAAATGTCAAAGACCTTTTAACCATGATATATTATCACATCGACATATCGATGTACTGTATAAAACCATTCATAAAAAACACAAAACTGTCATTTTAACTTTGACATTTAACTTTAGTAATCGTCAAATTACTAACGCCCATGACCTTAGCTGCAATCTGATATCAATTAGACATTTAATAAATTATATGCATCCAAAACAAATTTATCTAATTTGACCCTAAAGTACTCTAAAATTGAGAATGCAAACGGAGAATCGGTCAAAGAGACAACAACCCGGCCAAAGAGCAGAAAACATCCCAAGGCCACCATTGGGTCTTCAACACAGCGAGAAAATCCCGCACCCGGAGGCGGTCTTCAGTTGGCCCCTTAACAAAAATGTGTACTAGTTCAGTGAAAATAGACGTCACACTAAACTCCGAAACATATAAATGAACCAAAATTAAAAAAAAAACATACATATAAAAAAGCAAGCTTCTTGTTTAAAGCGAATTTGCTTCGCGAGGAAAACCTTTGAAGAGTTCGGGGGTTCATACTTTAAAATATGCTGGAAAGTTTTTGTAACATCTATAAGATAACTAAGAAATATAAGCTGTTAAATTATAAACGACAAAATTTAGCATAATATATTGATCAAATAATTACGAACGAGCTTTAAAGAACAGCTGTTTTTTATCGTTCGTAACCAGTCTTTTAATTAAAATTTTATTGAAGACAAAATTGAGATCTTAAGTGTATTAGATATGTAAAAAAAGTATATTTTTATCTATATTTGTCCATGTCCGAATTTACAATTGTTTGAGTGTGACAGGACTCAAGAAGTGGACATACGAAAATCAATAAAGACTGTGATTATGAATTTCTTCCTTTACCTTAAAATTCAATAATAATTCTTAAAGTTGAATTAAAGATATAATTCTTGTTTTTCAAGTTTGTAAATGAGTTATATGTAGGTTGGTATCGACAAGCCAATAAATTTTTAGCAGACGACAAGATTCACCTGAGTACACATTGGATCAATAGTATATAGTCCCGGCTAGCAGTTGTACGATCCGGTAGGAAAGCGTTTGGTTGTGCTGTCGGCTTCAAGTCTAGATTAGTAGAAAAATTCAAAATGTCTCAAGAAAAAGTTGAAATTAGAAGAAACATCAAGACTCAACCTACTATTGGAACGAGGAGCACCGTTATCAACCGAACAAGTCATGGCGGTGGTAGCATCATGCCTGGTGGTGGTTCTAGAAGTGTATCAATGAGAATGAGTATGGGTGGATCGGCTCCCTCTTTTGCACAAGGGACAGTTTCATCTATGTCTCATAAGAATGTTGCTAACGTCTTAGACACCAGAGCCAAAGAGAAGACTGAAATGAACGTTTTGAATGAAAGGTTTGCTAGTTACATCGAAAAAGTGCGTTTCGTAGAAGCTCAGAATAAAGCTCTTCTCGCTGAAATTGATAGACTCAAAAAGCAAAAAAACTTTGATGCTAGTGAAATAAAGGAACTATATGAACAAGAAATAGCTGATTCTAGGAAAATAATAGATGATTTATCCGATGAAAAAGCTAAATTTGATGCCACTTTAGTCAGTTTACAAGATCAACTTGAAGATGAGAGAAGAGAGTAAGTTTTTCATTTATAATTTGCTTAACATAATTTCATACTGTATTTATGTAAAACCAAGAGTCATTTTAAGAAAATCAAAGTTCAAATTATTGAAGAAACTCAATTTGCACCAAAGTCAATTAATATTTTAACTTTGTTATAATTATTCAATTGTTGTTTTAAGTTTATTGCTAAAATTCGAGATGCCGGCCGGTAAGTTTGATGATGCAAAAGCCGGCTTCTGAAACCACGCCTCCAAAGAAATAATCCTGCGTCATCAGTTTTCTCATGTCACGTGATTATATAAATTGCACTTCCATTTCATTTCGACAACTTCAAATCCGATCAGAAATTCCCAAATAATATATGCAACACAATCATGATGAAGTCTTTACTAACTAAGCTAGGAAAGAAATAAAATATCTAATATCTCTACAAATAAAGTGTTTAATTGTACTATTACATTAGTGAACAAATGAAAACAACAAGATGAAGGTTGTTGAAAAGCATTGTAAAGTTAACACTATTTGACTTAATGAGGTAAAAACTTAATAATATAAAAAAAAAAATGCCCGATGATGTTTCAATTTTTGTTCGTTATCAAACATTTTTTATCAGTTTTGAATGAACTGAATCTGTTTAATTCGTTCTATCTAAATAAAGAAATAATTACATACAGTTTCAAATTCTTAGCTAGGACATTAATGAAAAAAATCTGAATGGTTAGTCAAGTGTAGATATAATCTATATCGACGGAACTTGTTAGTTCTGGTTCTTTGATCTCATTGTTGAGAAAAAACTTGCATTTAAATGAATGATCATATGATTTTAACCGTATAATATATCTGTTAGACATACTGTTTGTACTTATAATTAGTAATATACTAGTCTAAACATGAATCCCAAATAATGTCTATATTGTTATCACTCCACGTGTAGGACATAGATTGAAAAACAAATCTTAAGTTTTTAAATCAAGGGCCAAAAATTTATGTCTTAAAAAACTACATTGTAAAGATTAAGGATATAAAGGTTATAGCTATTATTACACCGAGGCAATAGAAAACTATGAACGGTTTCGACGCATGTCATTTTGCACTTGTCTGCTATCTTTATTTAGGTTTCCTGATAAATTAACTGTTAAAGGTTACTGTACGATTGGTGCTCAACCAACCAAGACCAATTAACATGTAGAATAAGGATACTTTAAAGTCGAAGAGCATACAGTGCAAAAGATGCTGTTTCTTGTAGATCTACCAATATCTTTTCATACTATAATTATATGACGAATACATTTGTAGTAATAATATTTCAAAGTTTGTATGATCGGTTTTCAATGGGGGATAATACTCTCAGGATCATTTAAAAAAAATGACTCATCTTATAACCTTGAATGAAATGAGAAAATACCCTAAGTTTAACTTAATGTGTATTTAATTCAAGTAAAATAGACCTACTGTGTAAAGGGTTACCTTTTATGGTGGCCTTTAATGGGTATTCTTATGACTAATTACTTGCCGCAAGGGTTAACTTTGGTCATATTACTAAACATTTGAATTTAAACTGGATATAAACCCATTAATTTCACCGATCGATTGAATGACGAAAAACGTGAATGGCTGTGATGTCAAATAATTTAAGACGTTTATTACCCGAATCCCAAAATATCGTTAAACAGAAGTAAATTAAAAATGAATAAAAATGAAGACACGTTACTGAGACGACAACTCTTGAAAAAATTCATTGAAAACCGACAGCACATTTATAGGAACGGCTTCAGTGATTATACAATACTATAGTAAAAGATTTCACAAATTATCCGGGCCATAAGCTTCTCCATGAGGCTTTTTTTTACTTCATATATTTTCATATGTAAACAGTTACAAACTGAATAAGATTTATTGCCTTGTATGTATAAGATGTTCTTTTTCAAGTTTTTGTTTTGATGTAGTCGTCTTGTGTACTTTTGATAAAATTCTGTGTAAAGCTACTTCTGATATTTTGACAAATTAATTATTTAACAATACATTTACTGCTTGTTATATCAAAAGCTAATGAATAACATTTAAATAAAGTTGTTATTTATGCAGTGACACGTAAAACTAACTACATATTATGAACTACATACAGGACAGCATGTGTTAGTACAAACAGAGACATAAATGTATATAAATTTCAAGATACATTTTTATCATAAGAACTGATTCATTTGTATTTCATGTTTCTTTTAAAACAAATAGTCATTGTTCGGGGGTTAGGAACGAATGTTGTTGAAAATGGATCTCGTATTGAAAAAAAAAAAATAAGTAGAGCTTATCTTAAATGTCATTAGCACAAATCTGCAATATAGATATATATCTCACGTTAAAACTAAGTAGAATGTAGGTCAGCATGGTTTCAGTATTAGTGTTTTAAATTTGCTTCAGCAACTGCGAGCAATCTTTCATTCTGTATACTTAGTATTGATTTTGATGTCTTTCAAACCAGTGTTTCAGAGGATCAGTTTTTCTTAAATGATTGTTATCATTTCTACTTTAATGTGCATTTTGTAATTCCACTGAACGAGATCACCGGATTGGATGTTTGACAAACAAGTTTAACCATATCATATCTCCTAATAAGTACTCTAAAAACGATAGTATTTGAAAGTATACTTTGAACATGTTGAATTTTAATGTCGCTTATTAAAGCCGCCTAGAGAAAGAGACAAACGTTATTATTGACATAAGTATTGGACTTATTAGACATACGTATAATGCATTTGTAATGAGTGATGGAACATGTGTTACAATGAGTTATTTAAGATTTTTTAGTTTAGATAATCTTCTGATAAACGGGAGATAATTCAAAAATGAAACCTGTCCCGTTGTGTCAATGTATATAATAATTTGTTCCGCCTAACAAAACCATAAGAACGCTACACAACTTTGAAACAAAGTCAATATAATGAAATTCTTATAATTGGAGAGTTATATTTATTCTTTCGAAACCTTTAATACAACCTGATCTTCAGCCGGTCTTGTGCACCCGATTTTTTGCATAGTTATAAAACTGCAGACTACTATGTGATTAAATCTGAGATTATTAATTTAATAAACGCCTGTTTAAACCCTATTCAATGTTATTTTTACAACAACAATAACGGGTTACTCCCAGTGATTATAGAAATGGGCAAAAACATGTTATATAGATAATCATGTTATTTTTAACTTTCTTCAGTTTGGAATTTACTTGCTTGTAACTTAATTATGACTATATTAAAACCGCTATAACAAAGGAACCGCTTATTCGGACACCTGCCAAGACGGCGACAGTACTAATCTCTTGAACACGTGTTCGGAAACCTTTCTGAACTGAGCAAAGTATTGATTTCTAAGAGGATTTATCAAATTTCAAAATATTTTTTGAAGATTTTAAAGTTCAATATTTAAAAATTTGAAATACCAACAAAATAGAGTAACCTTTAGCGACTATTAAAGAAGATGATAAGATTTTATAATTTTGGTTTAGGGATGTGGCAACTATACATTTCACTGAGCTTAGCACGACCGAATAGTATATCATTGTCTTGTAAACAACATTTTACCCATTTTACTAAGTACACATCCATGACGGCCGCTTCTGTAAAATCATGGTGAAACGCCTTTGATCTGTATTTATTATTGCTGCTAGGTACCATAACTTACACATTTATTTCATCGTTACGTTATAGTGCTCAGCATGACAAGTTTTTACAAGATGTTTCTTTTATACGAAATCTATTTCTTTGTTCCCACATATTCGTTTTTTTTAAATATATTTTACCCTTTATGCACTATCGAAAAATGAAAAAGTCAAAGTGACCTGTCCGAAACCAACCATCAACAACAATAACGATAATGTGAGAATATTGAATCGGTCAGTAAATAACAATCAGAACAGCAAAGGACTAGGTAATTTATTTAAACTTGAAATAAAGTTTAATAAAAGTTCAAATAGAGTTTACACAATAGGTACATAAAACTTCATTCAAATTAAAAGGCTCTTCGTCAACTTCATAAAAGTACTCCACTGTGCAAATTTAATAACGATTTACAAATAAGTGCTTGTTTACAATAATTTAAAATGTCTGGTCTTTAATTAAGAAAATAAGAGGCTATTTATTATGTTGGGCCCCTGTCTGAACAAAACTTTTAGATCATTTAAATCAAGGAGTTACGAAATAAGGACATTTTAATAAGTGACTATTTTCGAATTTGTAATGATGAACTTTTTTTTAGTTAAATGTTGTCCTATTACCTTATTATAGAGGGAAACCGACGATCTATTTTGTTTTGTTGTTTACAAATTTGGGATGAATTGGAAACTTAAAACGTATGATACGATATATTTCCTGAACACTGTTCTTTTTTAATGGCTAAATTATCGGCCATGATAGCTTCTGTTTAACAATAACAACTATTGGCCATGTCTGCTCCTGAATAACAAGAGCGAATGTCGGTCATAACTTCCCCTGTAATAACAAGATCAACTATCAGTTATGTTTGCTCTTGTTATAAAATGAGCGATAATCGGTCCTGTTTGCTACTGTATAACAAGTTCGATTATCGGTCGTGTGTGCTCCTGTAATAACCAGAGCGGTTATCGGTAGTGCGTGCTCCTATAACAACAAAAGCGATTATCAGTCATGTCTGCTCTTGTTATACCAAGAGCGATTATCGGCCATGTCTGCTCTTGTGATAACAAGAAAAGATGATCGGCCATGTCTGCCTCTGTTATAACAAGAGCGATTATCGTCCATGTCTGCTCATACTTACAAGAGCGATTACCGGCCATGTCTGCCTCTAATATAACAAGAGGGATTATCGACCATGTCCGCTACTTTTTGAGTGATTAAGTGGAAACCTCGATTAGCTGTTTGAAACCACAAACAGATAGACATATCTATAATGTCTATTTATAAAGTTGTTTCGTCAGCAGAATATAAATATTCCTTTTCCTGTCATGGAAAACATCATCATCGGTCTATAATAATTATGATATAGGGTTTGTCCATTTGTTTATTACCTCATGATTACATGTCGATTTGGAAGACATTCACTTTCTCGTCAATTGATTCTTGGTGGATTGTTGCCAATAGCAATTCTTGTTTCTACAATTAATTTGATTTCTAAAATTTAAAAATAAAATAAATGCAACTAATGATATTTTTGTTGATTTCCGAATATCCATCTAACAGATGTTAGTACGGTTATACCTACGATAGTTTGAGATATTATCTTTATGAATATTTTTATGCACACCTTTATCCTGTTTATGTGTTATTTGATTTTGGCGCCTATCTCTTATAATAGACTTGCATCATTTCGACTTCTAGTAAAACTATTGATTTGTATGTCTTTTATGTGAAATACCTTCACTAAATATGTTGCCAATAGTTAGCAACGTATTAATGCAACATTATCAAGGCTATGTGGTATTTGATTAAATAATAAAAACCGCCTTCTTTGCACGTTATCAGAATCAATGAATGATTCATATTTATGAAAGGTTAGGAAAAAATACTTGGCCCTTCACTTCTTGGCTGCAATGCAATTCTTTACGCCTACTCGGTGTGCATAAAGTCAGTTACATTTACATGTGTTTCATCATAGATATTTTGTGGGCCAATAGTGATCAAAACCCCAGATTATAACTTACATGTGGTTCACACTTCTTATATCTTTGAAGAAATTCAGTTTCTTTTCTAATCGATGAAGAATCTCAGTTGTTTTTTTTGATCCAAAGAAAATAAATACAATTAATTTTCTGCGTCATCTTTTTTACTTAAAATAAGATAGTCGATACAATACTCATGGCTTTATATTATTTCGTTGTTTTGTGGACAATTATGGAAATATACACAGGAATTATCAATGATTGAACATTTACAATATATAGGCAAATCTATATCAATCTATTTCACAGTTTTAATTTTGAATTGTTTTTTTCGCGTTTAAATTGGCGATTTTAAGTACTTGTTTAGATTAATCCTATTCTATCTGCCAATGCAATCGAGGCATTACTAATTCCATTTTAAATTTATCAAAACTGTTTTTGAAAGTTACGTCAACCATGTAATTTGTACATTCAAACATATCAATATCACTCAAGGGTTCTAACCCAATTGTTGACAAAAGTATTTTGACATTTCAATTCATTCGACATTTGGCACTTTATCAGTACAACCAATGAGTTTATCACAGTACGACAAGATACGAATACAAAAAAACACCATCTACCACCAGAATGATAAAAGCATTTCCATTTTTTGTTATTTATTCTTCAGCGGAAAGTTGCAAATCGTTTTATTTCGAAATAAATGTATTTTTATAATATCTTAACTCAATAAAAAAAAGTGCTGAATTGACATTTATCCGCCTGATTTCATCTTGACTTAGTTAATGGGGTGGACTTATCGGAAAGTGTTTATTTTTGAACATCTATCGATTTAAATTGTCTGAGAGAACTTCTATTATAGATCAAGTACTTCAATTTTAAAAGCACTTATCTTCAAAGGAATTTATTATTGTAAAATTTGATTTATTAAATATAGAGTATCCTATGTAGCCAAGTTTTATTTCTTACTATCTATCCGCCTTTAAACGGATCTTCTTTAGAATTTTAGAATAATCGTTCGGGGTACAATTCAAATATGCATCGAAACATAAGTTTGGACAACACGAAAGTGTTGCATTAAAGCAATCAAGATATACCAGTTCTATAACCTAACACAGATTCTTGTATTTAAGGAAACAAAAAAGAGGGTCTGGTTCTGTAAACTTGGCAGAAGGTTACTTATACGAAATGTAATTATTTTAAAGGAAGTTATTGCAGACAGTCGCTTCGGTTAAAATCAACAGAAACCTTCCATTATAATTTTGTATTTTCGTTTTTGACAACAGTTTTCCAATTGTCAACTCCTCTATATTTTCCATAATTAGTTTAGTTGAAACAACTTGTGTTCGTATATAAACGAAAGGCACACATTTATATAAATATGTATTACAATCTTAATCAGTATTCTACTCTGTAATTTCAGCCGGATAAATGCAGAAAAGACAGTAGATGACCTATCTAATAAAATAGATAGACTTAATGACCAACTAGGAAATAATGAAGGAGAGCTAGCCAATCTTAGACTTAGGATAGAGACTTTGGAAGATGAGAACGCTCGTTTGAAAAAGGACAAGAGAACTCTTCAAGATGACATTGGTCGTATTAGGGCTGTAAGTCTTTCTAAATCTACAATTCACTGTGAAGATTGTTAGATATATTTGACTACCATCTAATGATCATATACCGTAAATCTAATCTTCAATTAGGTTGATGAATATATAGCGCAAATATATCTTAATGTAGTAGCCAGTAATGTTGTAAACATTCACTAAACATTCACAATTAAAAGTATTGCTAAAATTGAAAGAAAAATTTTCAAATTCAATGACTAAGTAGACATTCCTATAGCAATGTCAAGGCAGCATTTGCTAATATTACATAGAAAAGAGAAACGTCTATATTAAAAAGGAAGATGCTACAACATTGATTTTGTTTATTGTTGTATTTGTAGGATCTGGATGAAGAGACTTGTAAGAGAATTCAAGCTGAGATGAAACTACAAACGGCCGAAGAGGATTGCAAGTTCCAAATCAATATCTATGAAGCTGTAAATATATTTTATATTGCAGGGGAAGTTACTAAATGCAAAATAATGTTCAAATAAAAAAAAGAGACGTCGTTACCGATGTAAATAATCAATTATTGAACTGAAATGATAATATTATAAAAAAACTGCAAGTTAATGTGATAAAACCAACAATAAAGTTTTTGGATAGTATCTCATGATTAACCGTTTGGTTGTTCTATACAATACATTCTAACCTTAAAACAAGTTGATAAAATATTCTGTCAAAATAAATATGAAACTGCAAAATAACTATTAGATATTGTAACATAATATCATATTGCTATGTCATTAATTGTTTGTAAAGAAAAAAAAGAAAGGTTTGATTTAAAAATAAGACAAACTTTGCTATGCATCATTCAAATTTTGTTTTTGCTTAGGAAATTGCTGAACTGAAGGCCATGCTTGACCGTGACAGGAGCATCGAGATGAAAGACATCTGGAAGGGCGAAATCTCTAAGGCCATTAATGAATTGAACACACAATATGCTTCAGAAGTTGATAGAATTCAAGCAGAAATGCAAAAGAACTATGAGATGCAGGTAAAGGTTTTGTCATAGACGATACACCATTAATGTTATAATAATGATAAGAAGAATGCCTCTTCTTCACAATTTGTTGTACGAGTATTTGTAGCAGCTCTTCAAAATAAGCTGCCAGTAAATTCTTATACACTGTTAGGTCCTTTCTGATAATTGTGCTCTAAAAAATCATGTTTATCTTTTGTCTTTTCTAATTACAACAAGATGTGTTCTGTTCTTTTGCAAGTAACATTAGAGAGCTTAAAACAGAAAATAATATCAATGAGTCTGAAGAAATAAAATGGTGTATTGAAAAAATCTTACCCACATGATCATATTGTTGCAGTATCACATGCACTGTAATGGAAGTACCTAAAGTTTTGGAATTGTTCTCCATTGCAGTTACCTTTACACGGGTCAACTTGCCTACATTAAATTAAACAGACACTGGATGTAGTTATAATTAATCAATTAGTACATAATTCCCTCATAACAATTTGTAAGCTAACTTTTAAGCTGTTAATCGAAATGGCATTTTTTTATTTTATAGTAATAACATGTTAAATAAGTAGTATATTTCACTATTAATAAATAATTACAGATGAACGAAATGAGAGCCGGTTTAAACAGAGACAACATGGAAACTATGAGTGCTAGGGAGGAAAGCAAGAAAGTTAAAGGAAAACTGAACGAGCTACAACCACTCATCAGCCAATTACAAGCTGAGGTATGTAAAACCTAGAAACGTCACGAAACCATGCACATAATAATATAACCCCCATTGGAATAATTTGGATTTAACCTTCCACCTTAATGGTCACTGGTGGGACCTTTTATCACAATATATCCCTTTTTTTAATAGGACTGGGCAAATTAGAAGGCTACAGTCATATAAACTTATGCGCTTATAGATTTATATGTGGATTATGACTTAAATAATGTAATGGCATATATGAAATAATGAGCGTAACATACGTTTACAAATTTCAATCCTGGTATCTATGATGAGTTTATTTACAAAACCAAGATAGTCATGAAAGCCAGTTTCCTGCTTAACAGTATTTATGAGCATGTATGTATGTATCCTCAACCAAAAAGAAAACAAATCTTCATATGATTGTATTTCTAATTATTTGCCAGAATGCCATGCTGAAGTCTAGACTGGAAGGACTACAGGTCCAGTATGATGATGAATGTCGCGAACATGAGTCTGATGTTAACAAACTGCAAGCATCAATCGAGAGATTGCAAATGGAGATGGATTCTGTCCTAACAGAACTTCAAGTCCTCCAGGATGCCAAGTTATCATTGGAGTTGGAGATTGCTGCTTACAGGAAACTGTTGGAAGCCGAGGAGACAAAGTATGTTTAGCACTTAATGTAGCTTTTGATTTGATTTGATTTCTTTAATTTTTTATTGTCTTTTGGTGAGGGAAAGATTAGAAAAAAAATCATTTCTTTGTTATCAAATTTATGTTGATGATTTTACACATGAATAATTTGTTTTCAGTAAATTTTGTTATAAAATATAGACATTTTTTTCGGCCGTTATCATTTCTGTATTGCGGTTGGCCTTTTCCCATTTCAATGATTATTTGAATAATCCATGTACTATGGACATCTTGATGTTATCATAAAAGTCCAGTGGCCTTCATAAAGAAATATATACACAAGTGCAATTATGTTGAAAACATTTAAATTACTGTTGTCTTATTTTTATTTTATCTTAGACTTTAAAGGCATAGGTTGTATCACTTCATATAAACTATTTGTTTTCAGCATGAGACGTGTTGTTGAGCATTCCAGTGGATCACGTAGCGGTGGCGCTCAACTGCTTTCTGACATGATCGTTAGCAAAGGAGGTTCCGGAGATTCACAGAAAAGCAGTTAGTAACAATTTCACATTTGTGATGCCATCGTGTGATGCATACAGAAAATTGTAGTGTTTCAATGTAGTTGTTTTCAGACGTCATTTCATGTGCCTGTTTTTTTTTATCTTGCCTATACAGTCTTTTATAAATCTCTTTTATATTTGAGGAGCCGCAGAAATAGTGCAATTTCAATTATAAAGCATGCATTATAGTATGGAGTTAAGCATCGGATGTTGACATTAGAATTAATATAATGATGCAAAAATGTGACTAAAAGCTTAGATTTTTTAATACTAGTTATAATTGTGATAATCATGCTTTGTTTTTTTATGCAACATGCTTTGTTTAACCTTATAGCCATTATATGCTTGTTTATAATATTCAAATTTATCGATGGACAATAAAATGTCATATAATGGATTTCCTTTGTATATTTGACTAACAAGTAAAACAGAACACTATAAGTAATTAGAGATGGCTCATACAACATATAACAATTATGAGCGAAATAGTTTTCCTTAAAAATTGTATAGCTTTCCATAACCTTCCCTATTTTCCTAAGCTTTGGTATGCGGTTTTTATTTTTCCCTATTCCAATTTAATTGGGTTATGGAGAAATTGACGGATATTGGTTTATGGAACGAAATTTTGCCTCCAAAATTGTCTACCATTTTCTGTATGTTGTCAATGTCGGATTGTGTGGCATAGTTGGTAGTGTGGTTCGTTCTTATACTGTATTTATTATGAAAGTTTTTATATTACTTTATTATTAGCACTGCAGAAATTAGTTGCTTAAAATCATGCAATATCCATATCAAATTATAGAAAGCATTTTTATTAGTTTATTGAGCAAATATGATAGTGCAACCATTATGTATATACAGGGAGCACCGGGGGCGATTGCAGATATTCGTGTCATATTTACTAACTTTAAAAAGTGTATAAGAACCAATATGATGGTTTGATGTTTGCATGTCTTGCTAACATATTCATTACTAATACGTACTTGACAATAGGTTCAAAAACTGCCTTGCATGAAAAAGCACATTAACGTTCATATTTTTTCCTTATGAAACTTTGAGTACTTATGCCAATTAAAAGCACAAACAACACATTATTCTCAACGCTATAAACTCAAACACAGGTTTTTTTTTACAAAACTCGGTATAAAATTATCCTTTAAAAATGTCTTTAATCTAGAAAATTTGCAATTCCATATACAGTTTTAACCTTGAGCCCACTGAAATGACAATTGTGGTTGAAATGCGTATCTATTGTATTAAAGTGCTAACCTTTTAATTTGATTCAACGTTACGTAAAAATACATGAAGTAATCCATGAGGTCATAAACGGAGCATAGCCGAGTGAGACGACAGCGTCTCCTGCTAAAAAAAAAACAAAGAAAAAAGTATTTCATTATTATCCAGCACAAGACTGATTTTAAAGTGATATATATAAAAAGAAGTGAACTGGTCTTTAATTTGAATTAAATGGGTTTTGAATTTTGGCAATTAGTGTATTGTTCATTATTTAGAATATTTCGGTGTTGGCAGTTATTTTTCAACATATAAGTTCCGTCAGTGCTGACATTGTAAACGGAAAATGGTAGACCAATTTTACGCAATTAAGTTATCAATAATTATTGTTGTCAATGGTATTCAACCATATTTTGCAGATGCTAACCAGATAAGTAAGTCTAAATAGTCACGTGATATACGGACGTTGATCTATATACAACAGAAAGTAACATGTATAAACAAGTTCTTAATAAAACACCAAATTACATCCAAGATACCAATTTCCTAACTTCCATAACAAAATTCACATGATATATACTCAATTCAAAAGGAACACACAATCCTAACAACTTTTAAAGTGCAACATAAATAAGTTGCCTAATAAAAATAGAGGTGCCATTAAATGAATTCGCAAAATAACATACTTTTCAAAAGCAATAACATAAACAGTACCAATTTAACTGCAGTAAAGTGTCTTTTAGAAAATGGGAAAAAAGCATTATGTACAATTTTCAAGTTCTGATATTTTTATAAATTTTAATTATCTCGCACACGTTTTTGTGTGATGAAGAACAAGACACGAGATGAAGGATGTGACTAGCTTCTGTACCAGACATCAGAGAAATATGGAGTAAGTTGATAACTTCTTAGCTGTTGTGAATGAGCTTTTAATGATATTTTGCTTTTCGGAATCTGCCGTATGTTCTAGCTCATAATGACACACATCTGCTATGTTCTTGATGGAAAGAAAATGTTATGACCGTCAATGCATATTTATCATTGTGATTTTTTTTATTCATCTACAAAGTATTGTATTAAAAGGAAAAATATCAGGGTTTTTATTTTGATATATATGTATTATTAACAATATTTCCTGTATTTAATGAACTTAATTAACTTAAGTACGCATGTATTTCATTAACAACCTCTTGTAAAGAATAACAGATGATGGGTATATAATCGGAAACAATGGAATTACCATTCCAAAAATAGACTATCCCTTAAATTAATGCATGGAATAAAATTGCATGATTTTGAGCATGATTTGTGCAGTGTGAAAAGTGTTATTTAACAATAAAGATAAAAGTTAGCATTTTTAGATTGTTAGAAGTAACAGTCTTGTTAACTAAAGGAACTTTAATGTTTTTAATATTTATGCTTTCACATTAATTTTTTTTTTATTGAAATAAGAACTTTTTAATAACAAACATATAGTAGTAGAAATGAATTTTAGTTTAGAAATTTCGTTATTTAAGTTATAAAATTGATAATGGTAATGTCACACTTGCAATCCATTTTCAGCATTAAGTGAATCGTCAAATAAAATTCTGGTACAAAGAACATGTAGAGGAGATATATCTATTGAGAATGCCCAGCCAGATGGAAGCTGTGTCACCTTGAAGAATTCATCTAAAAAGGTAGCCCGAACTCTTTCTTTTAACACGATATATTTCATATCGCTATGGAGTTGTAATTGTGTATTAAATTATACATCCATGGGTATTTATTATTAAAATGTATAAACCATACTTTATGCACTTTATGCAATATTTTCACTTCAAATTTTTCACTTTGTATTTTTGATGAGTTAATTGATGAATTTAAGTGAAGAAGCTTATTAAAAAGTCGTAAAAATGTGCATAAAGTATGACGTAAGATATAATTAGTATGAATAGGAAATCCTTAGTATGCAAATGTACAATGGTATATAACATTTTTGTATATATGCAAATGTAACAAAAGAAATTTTCTGTCTATATTACCATTCTGCATTTGTTTTAAAGTGGTCAGAGGTTGCTTGATTCAGTGTGCTTATCAAAATATATTATATTTATTATCTCAAAATATAAGTCGTTTGAAATCTTTGCTATAAATGTTATGGTCTACGGATGTATCGTATCAACAGTATCTTGTGTAATGTAGAAGCATGCCAAGCTGGTAAATAACAGGAAAAGCATGCTTCATATATATTTTGTTGTAAAACTTGTATTCAATTCTTCCTTTTCTGTCTTCGAAGGACATAACAAGCTATAAAAGCACCAACTTCCATAATGCAACATGTGAATGAACAAAACATTGGTCCACTGTTTTTAAGTTGTTCATTGCTAAAACATTTCGTTGATAACCACCCCATTTTCTCTCATGACCCAGTCATATCTGTAGGTTGTTTTTACCAGCCCATTTTCTCTCATGACCCAGTCATATCTGTAGGTTGATTTTTTTGCTAACAAAGTCATAGGTCCACTCTTCAATTTGAAGAAACTGTTCGGTTTTATTGAATACATATTTTTCCCATCTTGTCCTTTTCTTTTCATTTGTAAAAATGTCAAGAGAACGATATTTAAAATTGTTACCATTCTTAAATCCAATTACATATAATGGAATATCTAGTTACCATTCTTAAATCCATTTACATATAATGGAATACCTAGCTTTATAGCATTTGAAATTTGAATGCAAACGAATATAAACTTCTGCTTGTAGAAAAGTACATCACCAGGTGGCAAGGTAAGCGCCGTGTGCGTTGAAATGCTAATTAATTATATCTTTAAATCAATCTCAGTATCGTTGGTATATAGGGAAAATCACTAAGACATATGTATACACGTAGTTTGTTTCATAATATTGGAATAAATAAATACATATATTGCAAATACGATCTTTGGTGAATAATGGGACCAAATTCTGTTTTTAAATGAAACAAACTACGGACAGTAAACCCTCAAAATTCACTTTATCTGGTGGTTGTCCCAACGATCGCCCTTGTTTGGCTATGTAGCATTATTATTTGGGTACTGTTAGGTGACATGTTATCTCACCTCAATCAATCGATCATTCTCGAAAATCACTGCTACTATTGGTATGATATTTTTTTTTGTGGGGGGGGGGGGGGGGGGTTGCTGGCATATGATAAAAAGATAAAATAAATAAACTTAGTTGTCTCAAATGTTCTATATTTCGAACTTTTAAATCTCGTTATAGTTCTACATTTTCAGTGATTTCTACTAATAGTTCCTGATGGATAATCGTGGTTTTCTTTCTTTTTAAATCATCTTGCATGCTGTTGACTAAACATAATATACCACTAAGATCTATCTACTATATATAGACATATGTTACAGTGGAGTAGGGGGCAAACTCATGAAAGTGACATGCAAAATAAAAAACCAACAAAACTTTTCTTTAGTACTAATAGTCTAACTCCTGTCAGTGTACGCTTTCATTTTCCTTTTTTTTTTTTTATAATTTTCTTTTTGGCTAAAAAAGGGGGGGCAAAGACATAGTTTTGTGGCTCCTACTCCGCTGAGGTAATATTCTTCTGCATGCATATGACTCATACAAGTACTTAATCAAGTACAAATGCAATTGATATACATTCGAAGAACGTGTAACTTTGACAATTGATATAATAGTTGAAAGTGAATTCGTTTTAAAGACGTTCCTTTTAAATTGACTTTGCTCAATAATTCGATCAATCAATTAATTTGTCATTAGAGAAATATAATATATATAAATTCTTTAAAATGAAAAGTAATCTCTCAAGCTTCGTATTTTTCATATCAAAGTGAAATATCATCAGAGGAGATGAAAAAGGCAGAGGAACATATATTAAATAATAATAAAACAGAATTCTTATATTCAAGTATTTATCAATCAAATATTAAAACATTGAGGTTCATTTTTCAGGATATTGTTTCTGTTAGCTTGAAAGGATGGTCTCTGAAGAAGACGGTGAATGGTGTTAACAAACATACATACACCTTTTCAGATATCAGCCTGTTGAAAGGGAAAGAGATAAAGGTAAGAAATCCCAATAAGACGGGGAACTCCTTTTATAGATTATGACAGGGAACAGCCGTTAATAATTGAGAAAGGTATCTATCCAATTTTGAAAGTTCCTTTTTGTTTTAAGAGATGTGGTATGATTGCAAATGAGACGGCTATCCACTAGAGAGAAAATGACATGGATGTAAGCAACTATAGGTCACCGTACGACAAAAGTACATTTGAAACGATTGAAATATGTAAACGCATTTGTGTGTATATATGATTTGCAAATATGAACTTAATAATATATTAATTTTATCATTAGTACAGAAAAAAATATAGCACGAGTACAAATTTTCATATCAATGTTCTCTTTTCTCTTTAAATAAGTTTTTTTGTAATTTTGTATTTACTTTGAAGTATTTACATGGTAGAAATGTCCAGTTTATAATATTTATAACACCTAGATAATGCGTTTTTATAAAGAATATATTTTAATAAGTTGATATAATATTACTAATATAAATGATATATAATCTCGTTTCAGCTGTTCTCCAAGGGAGCTGCAGAACTTGCCAAGGATAGTGACATAGTATGTGACATTTTTTCCTGGGGATTGTCCGGCACTTTCACTTTAAATGATGACAAAGGAGTGGTAAGTACATGTTTGCTTATAGTTAATATACTTTCGGCACACCATATTTTTGTGTTGTGGCCTGATGTCTTTGACCCATTGTCCTTGAAAGTTTGTAAATTTTACATCTTTAATAGAATTATTAATATATTTCGAGTTTTGTTCCAACTGCTCGTGCTAAAAGTAAAACTCCTTTAAAATGGGATATTTGTTACCCATTCAATATAGAAAGTTTTTTTCGCATATAGAATACAATGTTTTATCATATTTTCTTACAATATGTATGATATATTCCATATATATATTTTCACACATAACAAAATTATTATAAATCCTTTTTTTTTTTTTGTAGGAAAAAGCAACATTGACCATCAAGACTGCTTCATAAAGGATTGTAACAATTCAGCAATCCAGAATTGTATTTGTTTTTGTGACACAACTTACATTTGTCTTTTTATTCATTTGTTTTATGACAGTATACCAAGTATGTGTGCAATAGATGAATCTGCTAATCGGCTTCCTGTTTGATTGATAATGTTCCATCAATTTAGCTTTGCTAGTTGTAATGAGATTTTTAACGCGTCCATACTCAAATTTCTTGCCTATACATGAAGTTCATCAAATCTTGATTTTTAGCCGTAGGGAATAATGGGATGTACAGTTATTTCTATGTTGAGATTTAGATACGAATATCTCTTCATAATATATTTTGGTTTCCCAGAATATAGCCGATATGATGTTCTAGGTAGTTGCATAAACGGTTAAGTTTCAAATATAAATGTTTGTTGTATATATAATATCTGAATGTCGAAATAGTATACTTTCTTCACATGCAGGGTCACAGAATTGGTTTTAAATTTTCATGTATATTATTTTTGCGTATTCCGAAATTCAACATTTAGTTATTTTCGTTGGAAACCTCAACATTTCCATTGTTATTGATGCGTTAAAAGTTGTTCGTGTGGGTTTAATATTCTCATTTTGACGATAGAGGAGCAAAACTCACGATGAAAATGTATTCGTTTACAGTTTGTATCATACTTCATTTCATTTTTGTTTATGATATATTGATTCTACAAGGCGGCAAATATTATATTTTGTCTTTACAACATTCCAAAACCTCAACGATTGCTGCAAAGATTGGTTGTGAATTTTGATCATCTTTAAGAATATATATTTGTATTTTAAGTATTAGTTTTAAGCTTTACGAGAAAACATTTGGGTTTATTGAATAACTTTATTCAGCCCTTTCTATATTTTATATTTTGCAAAAAGTCATGTTTTGTTATGGTGATTATATTAGATTTAGAATATTATATATGGTTTTATTCAATAAATATTTTTACATTTATTTGTTTTTTGTACATATTCTACTAAGGACTGGTTTTAGTCCATAACTCACCAACAAAGCGTGGTCGATACGGTAAAAAGTTAATCGGAATGTCAAATGCGGTCTTTTTCGACAGAAAGGATGCCATGCAGTTACAGCAACTCATTACAATGTTATAAAGAATCCTTTACACGTGTATAAATTGAGCGTACGAATCTGTATAAGGTAACACAATGCTGGATTCTCGAATATCTGAAGTAAAGAGTTTAAGATTTACAATTCTCTTTATTTAGAATTAATCAGATAGGGCGATTCCCCCTGAATTTCTTTTACTTTAACAGGGTAAAAAAATCCGATAGATGTTAGAAAACACTGGATCTTCAATAAAAATGAGTCTGATTAATAATAATTTTTCATATATTCATAAAATCAAAATGTTATCCAAAGCTATAAAGTGTTGTTAAAGACACTCAGTTTAATACACTAGATCACATTTTACGTATTTCTACAAACTTTTGTATTTAAGGACATCCTCAAATTTCATTTATAATTAATTTGCATGTGAAAGACAAAATCTTATTTAAATTCCAAAAGAACGAACACCTCATTCGTTTTTGCAAAAATTGTTCAAAATTTGCCAAAATCTCATAATTATACATTTATTCTTTAAAGCTTAAAAATAAATTCAGGGGAAATTGCTTCTACCACTTTAAATTTCCTATTGACAACCTGAAAAATCAACGTTTATTCAATTGAAAAGAAGGCTTGTAACAGTAACACGAGAGCATGTTTGGGAATTCAGCATTGCAATAAATGTTTAATAAAAAATACATTGAAATACATAGAAAATACAATTTAAACTAAAAAAAAAAAAATGACATAGACCTATATTTTCACCACAACAAATTGGTGATTGAACTGGGACTTTTTACTTTGTATAAACGAAACTAATATTGCATAGAGTCATTGTTAACATAGTTGGGTTTAACACGCTTCTTAACAAAATTGCTTTTAGATGATAATCACAACACGGCATAGAATAACACAAAGGAACACTTTAAAGTTTTATCAGAATGTACAACCAAACACCATATATTAAAGTTTTATCAGAATGTACAACCAAACACCATGTATTAAAGTTTTATCAGAATGTACAACCAAACACCATGTATTAAAGTTTTATCAGAATGTACAACCAAACACCATATATTAAAAGGCTGAAATAACATCGACTTGGTACACATCTGATATGTTTTGTATTCTTTTTTGTAAAGTATATATATATAGCATTTTACTAATTTTTGTCTGATAGGAAATATATTTTACTTATTACTGCACCATGACGAGTAAGAGAGTTTTATATTTTACACACACTTTCTTTCGTAAAAAATACATATTTCTGTTGCAAATTACATTTAAACAAATTAACCGTATAGTATAATGATCGAATTACGTAGGGCTGTATTTTTCAAATTAGGTAATGAATAATGCTAGCATGAATTGGTGATGACGTCCTTGCATGTGAAAACGGGTGATGGAGCCTTATCCCTTTAAGCATTATTGCTAGTATTATATTTTCAGCAGTGATTCATTTTATAGTGTAAGTTAAAATACTGAGGAATTATGAAATCATTAATTGAAAAATAGGCAAAAACAAATACCATATTGATCGAAAATATTAATATACATTTTAAAGAATTTGCGTTCATTGCTTTAGGAAAATAACCCGACTGGAAGTTTCAATTAACTATGCAGTATTATGGAAAAGTTTGATTTAATTGTAGGCATGAGTCACGCTTCCAAAAGAGTAAGCTTAGTGAAGAGTGCAAGAGGAGACATTAGATTTGAGGGATGTGATGCATCTGGAGGATGGGTTGCCATAAAAAATAATGGAGCAAAGGTAAACAGTTAGAAAGAAAGAATTTGTTCAAATTAGATCCACGAGACTGATTGAAATGCTAAATTAACTATCGTATGCATAACAGTAGTTTATTTTGTTTATGAATATTGGGATGAAATTGCACGGGGGACAAACAACGATAGTCAATTGTTTCATTATACTGTTTGATTTTACGTTAGAAAAGTGCTTGATTTGATAGGGGATCACTACAGGATAATTTCTTCGGCTATATAGTAACTTTTAACTGTTTTATTACCTAATTCATAACAAAAAAATATTAACTTGAATATACCATATAATGCATTTTTAATTAGAATTGGAAAATTCTAGTAAGATTTTTTTTTATTTCAAAGGCGATTAACATGAAAGGATGGACATTAAAGAAGGTGATCAATGGTATGGATAAATACAGCTACACTTTCACAGCAGACAATGTTGCACAACCTGGCAAGGAATTAAGGGTAATGTTTCTTTCATATATATATATGTTATATTTAAAAGAATACTCGTTATCAATCTTGTTTATGAGCAAATAAATGTAAGGTCATTGCACCAAATATAGACTGCATACATTGAACCTAGAGTTCAAAGCTTTTTAAAAGCAAAAAAAAATGATGTTGCAATAGTTACAGTGTCAACTGTTTGTAAAGAATATGACATTACTATGAAGTATGCTGATTTCACTTACAGACAGTATGTTTTGATTGCCAAGTTCTGTTTACAATGTTTTTTTACACTAAATGAACCATATCACTAAAATTTACTTCTGTTCATGTTCACAAACATTTTTGTCTTTCACTTCAGCTTGTTGCAAGTGGCATGAAAGATGAGGCAAAATACAGCGATATTGTCGTAGACAACTTTACATGGGCACCAACAGGAAAATTCTTCCTTGTGGACGACAACAATTCAGTAAGTACAACTTTATGTATTGAAAGTATGAACATTGACTTTATATAACAAAAAAACTGGCAATCAGTTAAATGAAGGAAAACTGTTTATAGGGGGAAATTTATGAACTACTTAAAGATATGAATAACATATGTACTTAAATATAAGCATCTAACAACGCTTTGATTGTTGTTTTTCATCTCGTTAGTTGTATAAGATCTTCAACCATGAACTAACAAGTGAGAGCAAAGTGAAAACGGCTCTTAATGTCGACTTAAAAAAGGAAAACTGATTGAAAAATTCAAACGGTATAGTTTCTAACAATTTGTTTGAAAATATAAATAGAATATCTGTTGATATCAAATCAGACGAAAAAGGTAACAACATTTAGTAAACTTGTAATAGACTTGTAATGAGTAATAAAATATCTGTTTGATTAATAAGAGATTCATTGCTCGGAATATATTTTTCTAACGCGAATTCTCAATAAATAAAACATTGATATTTTTCGTCATGCATCTTTAACCATACCTCATTTTTTAAAACTTTTAACAGGAGAAAGCTACAATGGACATCAAAATTGACAACTAAAAGACAAGTGCAGCTATGTAGACAATGAAACATTCCATAGAGAGACTTTTCATAGACATCAAATACAATATGTTTTTGTATGCTTTCAAATGCTTTCGGATTTACAACTATAAGATGCGTTGTCATGCATATTAAGGTTATAGTTCGTAAAAATATTTTAGAGAAATTGTTGTTGCTTTCGCTTGTTTACTTGCTTTTTAACATATATATCTTAAAGAATTTTCTTATTTGAATATAATAGATTTATGACAATTGTTGAATTGTTCAGTGAAATCCAGAATTATTTTGTCAAGATATTTAGAACTATGACCAAATCCATTATACTACAACGCAGTTTTTTTTCTATCAAAAGAGTTTATTTTGAAAATAAATACATAGATTTATATACATATTTTCATGTTTTCCATTAAATAAAATAGATTTAGATACAAATAGTGTTTACATCTTTGTATTACTACCTGTATTGAGCTGTTTCAAGTATTTACCAAGCCATATAGACATTATTACATTGTGTGTTGCCTACTTATCATTCAAGATCATTATTTTACCTCAGTATAAATACTATATAAATAACACATAGCTGAGAGGGTGATAGAGCAGATTGTTACCCCGAGAAAGCATTGTCAACTGAGGCGAAGTCAAGGTTGACAATGTCTTTTCGAGGGGTAACAATCTGCTCTATCACCCTCTCAGATATGCTTTATTTAATTTATTATACTGAATGTTCTGTTATTACTGTCTATTAAATTTTAAATTCAAAGTAATAAACTATGTCGTCTTGTACATAACAATCATCCGTATTTATTAAAACGCACACTTGAGCAAGCGTCTCCGTGAAGGGTAATAGAGTATTTGCCATGGGATAGTGTAAATTGTTTCCCTCGTATTAACCAATCAAAATCTGGCATTTTGACATCAAGTATAATAAAAGGAGATGTGATATGATCGCTAATGAGTCAATTATCCACCAAAGTCCTGACATTGAAGAAAGCAACTATAGGTAACCGAACGGTCTTCAACAATGAGCTGAACGCATACCGTATAGTCATTTATAAAAGTCCCAGACATTACAAAATGTGAAGCAATTCAAACGAGAAAACCATCGGCCCGATTTATGAAAAAAAAGGTAAACGATAAACAAACATGATATATATCAAATCTACGTTATTTGGTCTCTGCTGAAAAGTTTGCATCATTGACTATCATACCACATATTCTCAATCTACGTTATTTGGTCTCTGGTGAAAAGTTTGTCCCATTGACTATCATACCACATATTCTCAATTTGACACAGACAGCAATCAACAACAACTTATGGAATTACACGCGCCTCACTTTGGACAGGCACATAGAAACGTGGCGTGGTCAAATTTGTGATCACGCAACCCTCCCATAATCTGGGATACTGGTGCAACAGCACAACCAAAAAAACAAACTGTAAAAATCACTTGGAAATGGCTTGACTTATTACATTGGCACGAAACGCAAAACAACTTACTTAAAGACCAAATACACACAGTCTGATCTAAGAAAGCTCGCAGTTACTGAATGCTAGTCAAAAGCCAATAACAACTAATAAATAAATCATGTTCTCCCCGACTTGATTACCAATCATTACACATCAAACTAAGACGGTATG